GCGACCCCAATGCACAACAGAACGAAACACTACCCCCTCCTTTATCATCCTTACAATTGCTGCCGTGCTCCAGCCCTTTGCTTTTGCCTCTGTTTCAATCCATCTCCTTGGTGATCCTCCTCTTTTTGGCTGACCCTCCGTTTTACCAAACATGATGTCCTTCTCCAGGGACAGGTCCCTCCTGATAGCATGTTTGAAGTACGAGAGACAAAACCTAGCCATCTTGGCTTCTAAGTACATTCTGACGGTACTTCTTCCAACACAGACCTGTTTGTTTTCCTGGCAGTCCGTGGTACTTTCATCAATTCTTCTACAGTCTTCCCTATTCATTGTCCAACTTTTGTATGCATTTGTGGCAATTGAAAATACCATGGCTTGGGTCAGACACACCTTAGTCCTCAACTGACATCTTTGCTCTTGGACACCTTTTAAAGAGTTCTTATGCAGAAGATTTGCCTGATGCAACACATCATTTGATTTCTTGGCTGCGGCTTCCATGATTGTTGATTGTGGATCAGAGCAAAATGAAGTCTTTGACAACTTCAATATTTTCTCCATTTATCATGATGTTATTTATTGGTCCAGTTGTGAGGATTTTTGTTTTATTTATATTGAGGTGTATCCTATACCGAAGGCTGTAGTTTTAGATCTTCATTAGTAGGTATTTTAAGTCCTCTTCACTTTCAGCTTGTAAAGTTGTATCATCTGCATATCGCAGGTTGTTAATAAGTCTACCTTTAATACTGATGCCGTCTTCTTCATATAATCAAGCTTCTAGGATTATTTGCTCAGCATGTTGTTGTTGTTATGTGCCATGGAGTCGGTTCTGACTCATAGCGACCCTGTACAGGGTTTCCGAGGCTATAAATCTTTACGGGAGCAGAAAACCTCATCTTTCTTCTGTGGAACAACTGGTAATTTTGAACTGCTGACCTTGTGGTTCGCAGCCCGATTCATAACCACTACGCTACCAGAGCTCCATACACACACACACGCACACACACAAGATACAAGTACACACACTAATAGAGATAGTGGTTATGTTTATGTATTGGGCTGCTAACTTCAAGGTCAGCAGTTTGAAACTACCAGCTGTTGGGCAGGAGAAAGATGAGGCTTTCTGCTCCTGTAAAGATTTACAGCCTTGGAAATCCTGTTCAGGGTCGCTATTAGTCAGAACTGACTCCATGGCACACCACCATCACCACATATGTTGTTGTTGTTAAGTGCTATCGAGTTGGTTCAGACCCATAGCAACCCTGTATAAGGTTTCTGAGGAACAGCTGATGAGCTTGAATCACCGACCTTGCAGTTCAAACAACTTTGCAGTCCAGCGCATTGACCCACAGCACCACACCAGTACTCCATATATAAAGATAGATAAATTAATTAATTACTTATTGATTCTTAAGGAAATTGTCTCAAGTGATTTCAGGACGGAAATTTGTAGGGCAGGTGGGCAGGCTGGAAATTTCTACATTTCAGACCTGAGGCAGCATTCCTTCTTGTCCCAGAATCTTTTGTTTTTACTCTGAAGGCTTCAACTGATTGGTTGAAGCTCACCCATGCTCTCAACTGATAAGATGAGGCTCACCCAGGCTCTCAACTGATTGGATAAGACTCACCCATGCTCTCAACTGATTGGATGAGGCTCACCCATGCTTTCAGCTGATTGGATGAGGCTCACTCATGCTCTCAACTGATTGGATGAGGCTCACCCATACTCAAGGGTCAACTGAGCGTAGATGGTCTTCACATGTCATTACAGCGTCACAGCAGCGTTCCGACCAAGTCATTGAGTACCATGGCATAGCCAAGTGGGCACATAAAATTAACCATTGTTGTTCTTGTTGTATGTCGTTGAGTCAATTCTGACTTGCAGCGATCCCATGTGATAGAACTTCCCTAGTAGGGTTTTCCAGGCTCGAATCTCTAAGGAGCAGATCATCTTCAGGTGACAGGAATTTCCACTTCCTTGTTAAATCAATTTGGTCTTTTATATTATAAGGCATCATGGATTTATGATGAAAGTAAAACAGACAGATCAGGTAGTAGCTGGCTGAGGTGGGCATATATCCTCCCAGAATAAAGCAGGTGGGGAGGGGGGAGGAGATGGTAGCTGCAAGAAGAAGGAAGGCACTTAGGCCGTCAAAGATCTGGAAGGCACTTCAGAAAAATGTCACGCTGAATTTTGTTGATGCATGGGACATTAGGTGTAGAGGATGAAAAGGAATTTCAAAACACACATTCTGAGATGTTTTCCTGGGCTCAAATAGGTATGGGGCTTGCCCTGTCCCTGCTTTCTCCCCCATCTTTTCTGATTTCTTTATCTCTATTTTGTAATGCATTAAAAAGGAAATGAAAGAAAATTCCAGCACGAATAATTGCAATGACTACAAGATGAATCATTGGGTGCGGTAAGAACTTGGACACTATGAGCTAAGAAATGAAATGGAGGACAAATTAAAGAAATCCCATTCACTCACTATTTGCTTCCACTTATTTTTCTTGAGGCCCCTGGGAAGGGTGGGCATATCACTTTGTACATTCTTGTCCAGAATGTAATATAATTTATCTTCTGTTTCAAAAGGCATGGCTGGAGACAGACCAGTCCACTCCATCTTAACATTCCAGTATGATACTAACAGGAAGCCTACCTTTCAAATAGCATTGGCTTATAGGATGATATGTAAACCGAAGCCTGGGCCATCGAGTCGATTCTGACTCCTAGCCATCTTATGGACAGGGGAGAACTGCCCCATAGGGGGTCCTAGGCTGTCATCTCTACAGAACCAGATTGCCTCGTCTTTCTCCTATTGAGCATCTGGTGGGTTTGAACCACTGACTGTTAAGCAGCAGCCAAGCGCTTAACCATTGCACCTTCAGGCCTCCTGTAAGTAATATATATTATTACTGTCATTGGAGGCCTGGTGTGGTGCTGTGGGTTAATGCTCTGGACTGCAAAGTCAGTTTGAACCACAAGGTTACTGGTTCCAGCTCACCAGCCACCCTTTGGAAACCCTATACAGGGTTGCTATGAGTCGGAACTGACTCAGCAACACTTAACAACATTATTGTCAGGGGCCACGAAGTCAATTTTGACTCATAGCAATCTTGAATTAGGGTATCTGAGGCTATAAATCTTTATGGGAGCAGAAAACCTCACCATTCTCCCTCGGAGTGGCTGGTGGGTTTGGACTGCTGAGCTTGTGGTTAGCAGCCCAGTGCTTACCCTCCAGTACCTCTAGCACTCATCTAGTGTTGTTAAGTGCTGTCAATTCAGTTCTGACTCATAGCGACTCTGTCTAGGATTTCTGTGGTTTGTAATCTTTGTGGGAGCAGAAAACCACCCCTTTCTTCCACGGGGCTCAAACCATTGACTTTGTGGGTTTTTTGTTTTTTTTTTTCAATTGCAACAATATAGAATGACATAGATTTGAAAGTGTAAGTAATGAATTTTCTTCTCATCTCCATTTCAAGAAGAATAATTTGGTGTTTTTTCTATGCGTTTCCATGCATACATGTACACATACACAGAAACCCTTATTCAGTTATATGTTTTTATATAAATGGGCAACTTCATTTTTCTATGCAGATTTTTTTTAATGCTATTTTTTTTGTTAAATGGGTACTGAGCACCAGAATGTTTTGTATATTGCCACAGGCACTCCTGGTATGGCTGTAGGGTATGCACTGGACTGTGAACCACAAGGTCTGCAGTTCAAACCCACCAGCCAGTCTTCAGAAACACTACAGGGTCATTATGAATTAGAACCGACTCAAAAGCAGTTAACAACAACAGCACCACCATAGTCTGTCTGAGCTCACACTTGTGTAGAAACACCAGCTCTGGATTTGGATTGCAGGCCAGTTTAAATCTCGGCTCCCTTCCATACAAGCCTTATGATCTTAGAGTCTCAGCCGCAAGTTCCTCATCTATAAAATGGGACAGATGAGGGCATTTGTCTTATTGCATTGTTGCTGGGATTAAATTCGACTGAACGCAGAGAGCAGAGGTCCTGGAAGCCAGAAGGCACACGGCATCTGCAGCTCTAGGAAGCGGGCATCTAGTGAACTGAATGGATGTTTGAAGATGAGAGTTGAGTAGGCAGCAACTTCCTCTCCATCCCACCCATCTCCATAGTAGACCTCTTGTTGTTGTTATTGTTGTAAAGGGGTTCCAAAGCTGTGGATCTTTATGGGAGCAGAAAACCTCATCTTTCTCCTGTGGCGTGGCTGGTGGTCTTGAACTGCAACCTTATGGTTAACAGCCCAGTGCGTATCCTATGAAGCCACTAGCTCCAAAATATATCTGGAGCTCATGAAAATATCTTCTTCCAAATCCGCTTAGAAGACTCTGCTTAATATCCTATTAAATCTGTCAGGCTGTTCTGTTTCTTTTGGAGACTTAGCGAGCATTCATCACTTACAAGCCTTGGGGCCACCATGGTGAAATCTCTGGGCTGCTATCAAAATGGTCAGCAGTTCAAACCCACCAGCTTCTCTGAAGGAGAACGATGTGGTAGTGTGCTTCTGCAAAGTTTTACAGCCACAGACACCCTATGGGGCAGTTCTACTGTATTTTATACACTGTGAATTATGGGGTTAATGCTTCTCTCTCAGGCTTTGAACTTTTTGAGTTCCAGACTTTGGTATATGTAGTCAGAGGGAAACCTTGATGGTAGGGCCTGTGAGCAGAAGTTGGATTTAGTTTTCTCTCATCATGTGTGTCGATACCTCAATCTAGGGAGCATGCTGTGTCCATAGGATGAGTCCCGAGGTCTGCAGTTTGAGCCCACCAGTCACTCAAGCAAAACCCTATATAGTGTCTCCAGGGTTAGAAACTGACTCCACAGCACTTAACAACACCAACAAAGGACAATTTAAAGTCAAGAGTGGACGTGTTTGGCATGGTCCTCCTCACTGTTTCCAGCCTTCACAGGACGTGGGAGCTGAGGATTCTCGAATGACTGCTGTCTTTTGTGTTTGTTTCTCCACAGGAATACACTGTGAGCTGTACAAGGATCCCTGTGCCAACATCAGCTGTTTGAATGGAGGCACGTGTGACAGTGAAGGTCTCAATGGCACATGCGTGTGCGCACCGGGGTTTGCAGGTAAGTGATGGGTGGGCTGAACATTCTCCTTTACCCCAAGATAGCCGATGCCCGAGAAAACAAATGGCTGCACTACAAAAATACCATCAGAAAAGGCATTGCTGGGGTGAAAATCCATTTGCAATCACTTGGCTGTGCTTATTAAAGTAGGGCTTTTCTGAAGTTAGCCTTTGGTATTTAAGACTTGCAGAGACACATGCTTCCAAAGCCAGAGCTCAGAAGCATGATGCAGGAGCTATTATGTTAGCCCCTGAAAAAGTTGTAGTGGTAACGAAAGTAAGTAGAAAGTAAGAAGAGGAAGAGAAAGTGTTTTCTATATAAGTTAACCTCCAGCTATCACATTCATGTTACTGAAAGACATAAGACTGAGTTGATTTTGACAGATGAAGAGGCTTGCTGGAGCCCGGAAGGGAAGGGGAGATCTTCCAGGTGCAGGTTTAGCGCTTATGAAAGTACAGAGCCTGTGTTGTTAGTGACCATCACATTGGGTTTGACTCATGGCCATCTTCGGTAGAGCAGCATGAAATGTTGCCCAGTCATGTGCCATCACCATGGTTCTTGGTCAGTTTGAGTTTATTGTTGCAGTGAGTGAGTATTTTGAGTGTCTTCCAACTTAGGGGCTCATCTTCCAGTGCTAGATCAGACTGCTCTCTTGTGACCCTCAGGGTTTTCTATTGGCTAACTTTTAGAAGTAGACCAACAGGCCTTTCTTCCTAGTCTCTGTTATTCTAGAAGCTTTCCTGAAATCTTTCCACATGGGTGACCCAGCTGGTATTTGAAATACCAGGAACATGGCTTCCGCATCATAACAACATGCAGGGCACCACAGTAGGGCAAATTAGCAGATGGGTGGTGAGAAGATGCTGTCGTTGTTGAGAGTACTAGGGGTTAAAGAACTGCCCCAGAGCAAAGCAGAATGGGTGGGCAGGGGCTGGGCTCAGCTAGTATCCTGTTTAGTCACTAGGGAATCTTTGGTGGCCAGCCAGAACAGAACGGGACAAGTTACTTTTCAACTAGGAGATCCAGTCTAGGCAAGCTTACCCTGGGTCTTTCTTCCAAGTCATCCCTTGTGGGCTTCAGGGAGTTTGTGAATCCTTGAAAATTGATGTGGAATGTTGCATTATGTGTATGTGCTGAGGGGAGACGCTAACACTTTCATCACATTCTCAAAAATGTGAACCATTGGGCTAGAAAATGCATCATCTTCCATTTCCCATCAGTACTCACTTAAAAAAAAACGTTGTTGTTGAGTCAGCTCTAACTCCTGGTGATCCCATGTGTGTCAGAGAAGATCTGTGCTCCTTAAGGTTTTCCGTGGCTGATTTTCCAGAAGTACATCAGTAGGCCTTTCTTTTGAGGTGCCTCTAAGTGGACTCAAACCTCCAACCTTTTGGTTAGCATACTGGAGGTCAATCATGAGGACCACCAGGAATCCTAACACAACCCAGGAGTCTTGGCTTTGAGAGCATAGGACACAGTCATCATTTTCAGAACATTCCTCAACCAACCAAACCATAAGGGTCATTTTGGCTGGCATGTTGGCCAAGTCTGGCATAATTGTCCACAGAAGAGGTAGGTCTTGATCCCACAGGAAAATATGAGTGGCCCTCAGCTGGTGAGCACCTAACTGAGCTCCTCAGTCGTAATGCCCACAGTCAAGTTGTGGGGCAAGCAGCTTCCTCCTTGTCTTAGGTCCCTTCCCCTCATCTTGTTATTCCATGTCACACTCTGTCATTGGGGCTTCCTTGGGACTGAGAAGTACACTCATTCCAGAAAATGATGGTTTGTTTGCTGAGTGATTTACACACACACAGACCGATGTTATACTCATCAATGAATGCAAAATATACTGAGGAAGCATCCTGGTCTTTCTATGGCATTTATATCTTGTGGGTATTAAAAAATCATGGCAGAAATGTTAGAAAATAGAGAACAATAAGGGGCAAACTCACTAAGTAAGGTTAACATTTTGGCACATTGTTGTTGTTAAGTGCCGTCGAGTCGGTTCCGACCCATAACGACCCTGTACAGGGTTTCCGAGGGTGTAAATCTTTACGGGAGTAGAAAGCCTCATCTTTCTCCCGCGGAGCGGCTGGTAGTTTCGAACCACTGACCTTAAGGTTCGCAGCCCGATTCGTAACCACTACGCTACCAGAGCTCCTTTTGGCACATATACCCTGGAATTTTCATGTAGATCTGTGTGTATATAGTATATCATGTTCATTATTTGTATTATATCATTTAGTTGAACAAAACAGGAATCATAGTTCACATACTATTTTAACTTTTTACTTACAAATATGAGGGTAAGTCAGAAAGTATTGCTATACAATCTTGTTGTTGTTGTTAGGTGCCATCGAGTTGGTACTGACCCATAGCGACCTTACGCACAGCATAATGAAACACTGCCCGATCCTGGGCCAACCTCATTACTGTTGCCACACTTGAGTCCATAGATGCTGCCACTTGGCCAATCCATCTTGTTGGGGATCTCCCTCTTTTTCTCTGATCCTCCACCTTAACCAAACATGATATCCTTCTCCAGTGACTGCTCCCTCCTGACAATATGTCTGAAGTATGTCATAAAATCTTAGAAAGCTTTATTCAATAAAAACATCAAAATGTGAAGCTACTGTTTCTTGACATCTCCCTCACCTATGTCTGTACACTTCTGAACGCGCTGTTTCCATCTCTTGAATCCTTCCCCCAGATAGTCTGTAGTCTTCCACTGACACCATGTCAAAATGGTAGTTTGGGGCGTGCTCAAAGGACTCAGACCGTGTCCCTTTCCAATAGTCTTTGAGTTTGGGGAACAAAATGAAATCTGAAGAGGCAAGATTAGGGCTAAAGGGTGGATAGAGTAAGGTTTCCTAAAGAAATTCTCATGGGACAACTCTTGCTACACTCAAAGACTGAGCCAGGTACATTGTGTAATGGAAAAAGAAAATTCTTGGTACAATTTTCCTGGCCTTTTTCTCACCAATGCAGGTTTCAGTTTTATTAAAAATTTCTTCCTAATTCGCTCCCAAGATCATTTTGTATCCCTTGAGAAAATCTATCAAGATTCCCCCTTGGTAATCTCCCCCAAAACAGTCGCCATGACCTTCTGACCTGACTTCTTCATCTTGAATTACTCTTTGAAGTTTCACCAACTTTCCATAAATACTTGATTCTCCTAAAATCTGTTGTTTAATTGGGGAAAACTTTCTGTAAATTTGTTGCAAAGATTCCATGATTTGGGAAGAGGTCCATTTGGGTATTGTTAAAAATTTGATGGAAGTCCTGACCTCAAAATCATATCTTTAAATGGCACAAAAATTGTTCTATTGTTTGAAGGCCCCCTATGGAGACTAAAACAAGTGTATGACTGAGAGAATTTGCCTACAGCCATCCACTGATCGCAGTCATGTTTAAACATGTTTTGTCTGGAATAAGCCCAGGTCTATATGCCTGAAGACCCCTATAAGTGCAGCAGGTTGAGTGATGGGCTGCTAACAGCAAGGTTGGTGGTTCAAACTCACCAGCCACTCCTGGAAAGAAAGATGAAACTGTCTGCTTCCATAAAGATTTATAGTCTCCGAACCCTAAGAAGTCATTCTCCTCTGCCTTATAGGGTCGTTATAGGGATCAACTCAATCTCAGAACTAGAACCTTAGCAGCATTACTTACTTACTTATCCTCCGGTGTCCCATATCAAGAAATAGGCATCTCTATTAGCATTTTTCACTGGCTGCTCTATAGTCCAGTACATGGAGTATGATTTCTTTAACTCAATCTCAATTCAACTTTTGAGGTGTTCAGGACTTTTTCCCTATTATAAATAACATTGCAACTAATAGTCTTTTTTTTTTTTTTTTTTTTTTTTGTAACTACCTGTCTTGTCTGGATGTCTTTATGTACAAGTCTGATTACTTCCTTGGGATAATTTGTTAGGAATGGAATCCTAAAGTCCAAAGAGGGTAAATATATACTTCCATATTAATCTATATAGGAGCCCTACTAGTGAAGTGGTCATGCATTGGGCTGCTAACTGCAACGTCAGCAGTTTGAATCCACCAGCCACTTCTGCAGGAGAATGATGAGGCTTTCTACTCCCGTAAAGATTTATAGCCTCAGAAACCCTATCCAGGATCACATTGAGTTAGAACAGACTCAACAGCACACCACCATCACCACCATCATATTAATCTCTGCAAAATTTTTTTTTACCAATATTCACTCCTACCAGGAGTGCATGTTGTTGTTGTTAAGTGCCATAGAGGTAGTTTTGACTCATAGTGACCCTGTATTCTGTTTCTGATGAGCAGCTGGTGGGTTTGAGCCACCAACCTTGCTGTTAGTACTCCAGTGCTTATCCTACAGCGCCATACCAGAATTCCTCATATGTATGATTGTTGTTGTTGTTGTTAAGTGCCATCCAGTTGGTTTCCGACCCATAGCGACCCTGTATAGGGTTTCCAAGAAGTGGCTGGTGAGCTTGAACCACCAACCTTGCAGTTGAAACCGACTTGCAGTCCAGCGCATTAACCCACAGTGCACAAGGGGCATCTAAAAGTTCCTGGAAAAATTACATTCTCTTTTAAATTCCATTTTTAAGCCCTCATATATGAGCCCTGGTGTGATGCTGTAGGATAAGTATTGAACTGATAACTGCAAAGTTCAAACCCACCAGCTTCTCCTCTGAAACCATCAAAAGGGTCACTGTGAGTTGGAACTGATTCAATGGCACTTAACAACAACATATACGTATATTGTTGTTGTATATACATGTATATATGTATGTTGTTGCTAAGTGCCATCGAGTTGATTCCAATCCACAGTGACCCTGTATAGGGTTTCCAAGGAGAAGTTGGTGAGATTGAATCACCGACATTGCAGTGCCGTCCAGTCGATTCTGCCCCATAGCGACCCTGTATAGGGTTTC